TTATATCTCTCGGCTGGCCTGGAAACGCCTTGGTGTGCCCCCGGATAAGCTGGAGGAGGTGGCTGGGGAGAGGGAGGTCTGGGCTTCTCTGCTTGGGCTTCTGCCCCCGCGACCCAGCCTCGGATAAGCGGAAGAAATGGATATTTGATCCCCAAGCAAAACAGGACTTAGTACAGCATGAAGAGACCCTTGTTGTCGAACACGTCTCTTATACTTGGTCACCAGGTTGGCTCACATCTCAGCAGGGTCCACTCCTCTTTACGGAAACTCTCTAAATCGTTTTGGCTTCTTGGCTGCTGCTTGGCCACTCAAAGTTTCATGTGGCTCCACAGATTTTCTACAGGATTGAGGTCTGGAGATATGCAAAGTCACTACCTTTCAATGGACTGAAGTCATCTTGTACCCTTAGCAGAAAAACAGTTCCCAAGCATTGATGTTTCCACCTCTATGCTTGACTGTGAGGATGGTTTTCTTTGGGTCATACTCAGCATTTCTCTTCCTACAAATATGGTGGGTTGAGTTGATGCCAAAGAGTAGTGTTACTGATGGTATTTTTAGTGACTGTGGTCCCAGCTGCCTTCAGATTATTAACAAGCTCCTACCATAGAGTTTTGTGTTGTTGTGGAATTTTCTATTAAAAAAGTCTACAACAAGGTCAGCTGTGGTCAAGCTACACTGCTCAAAAAATAAAATAAAATAAAATAAAGGGAACATTTAAACAACACTATGTAACTCCAAGTCAGTTACACTTCTGTGAAATCAAAATGTCCACTTAGGAAGCAACACTGATTGACAATCAGTTCCACATGCTGTTATGCAAAAGTACAGACAACAGTTGGAAATTATAGGCAATTAGCAAGACATCCCCAATAAAGGTGGTGACCACAGACCACTTCTCAGTACCTATGCTTTCTGGCTGATGTTTTGGTCACTTTTGAATGCTGGCGGTGATTTATCTCTAGTGGTAGCATGAGATGGAGTCTACAACCCACACAAGTGGCTCAGGTAGTGCAGGTCATCCAGGATGGCACATCAATGCGAGCTGTGGCAAGAAGGTTTGCTGTGTCTGTCAGCGTAGTGTCCAGAGCATGGAGGTGCTACCAGGAGACAGGCCAGTACATCAGGAGACATGGAGGAGGGCAAAAAACCAGGAGCAGGACCGCTATCTCCACCTTTGTCAAGGAGGAACAGGAGGAGCATTCCCAGACCTCTGCAAAATCACCTCCAGCAGGCCAGAAATGTGCATTTGCTCAAACGGTCAGAAATGACTCCATGAGGGTAGCATCAGGGTCCAACGACCACAGGTGGGGGTTGTGTTTAGAACCCAACATCGTGCAAGTCGTTTGGCATTTGCCAGAGAACACCAAGATTGGCAACTTCACCACTGGCGCCCTGTGCTCTTCAAAGATGAAAGCAGGTTCACACTGAGCACATGTGACAGAGTCTGGAGATGCCATGGAAAACATTCTGCTGCCTGCAACATCTTCCAGCATGACCAGACCAAAACAAAAGGCTATACAAACCTCTACAGTGAAATCTTAAGCACCTAAATCTAAATGTAAGAAAAAATTAGAATTTTCCCCATTACAGTGTTGATCCACCTCCTTTCTCGTGATCTATCCCTGACATCCTTTTACAACTCTTTGGTCTTCTCTGTCTTTGGTCTAGGCTATCCATATGGTGAGGGACAGCCAAATCTCTAGAAGCCATAATTCTGGCTGGGTTGTAGGGGATCAAATACTTATTTCATGTACTGTATAGACCAGGGGTGGGGAACTCCAGGCCTCAAGGCAGGTGTCCTGCACTTTTTGGATATCACCCTGGGTCAACACACCTGAATCAAATGATTAGTTCATTACCAGGCCTCTGGAGAACTTCAAGACTTGTTGAGGAGGTAATTTAGCCATTTAAATCAGCTGTGTTGGATCAAGGACGCATCTAAAACCTGCAGGACAACGGCCCTTGAGGCCTGGAGTTCCCCCACCCCTGGTATAGATCCTACCATACCTGTAACAGTGTACAAAGCTGTTATTAACAGAAGGGCGATGACAGCCACGTAGATATTCCATCCTAACGCCTGCTGGATAAACACTGCTCCTGAAAACATATCCACCTGGAGAGAGACAGAGATTGAATGAAGAGAGAAATACACACAATAGGGACAGTTTTTTTTAAAACACGTGTGCACTAATGGGATCACTTACTGAGATCTTAGTCAAAATGTACAGTAACAGTGAGATAACTGACAGGTAGAGGCTGATTCTGGTCCCACCAAACCTCTTCTTCAGGTACTGAGGCATCGTGATCACCTGCCACAGCACAACATCTCATCACACCAGTGAATGGCTACACTTTATGATGCCTGAAATACAGCACAGGCTAAACTTCTTACCCCGGCTGTGAGGTAGACAGGTACAAACAGCCAGCCGAGCAGCAGCACGATAAACAGAGCCTGGCACATAAAAACGAACAACACACAAAAACATGCGACATATTTAGACCTTCTTCCAGTCACTTGTTGTCATTTACAGTGTGTTTAATATAGGCAAATAAGGTGACTGTTACACTCCACTCAAACCCTCCAACGGCGATGCCGCCAGCCGCCCCGGTGCCTGCCAAACCAACAAAGTGACCACTGCCGATGTTGCTGGCAAACAGAGATGCACCAACCTGCAAAAACCACACGAGATACCGATCCAGCAAAATTACAGGAGCTTTTAATAAATAACTGATCATGAAATTAATTAAACTGGCATTTCAAAGGCTTAAAATCATGAAAATTATTGAATATTTGGTCATTTTTGCCATGAAGGTGTTGAGAGGGAGAGAGAGAGAATTTGAGATCTGGCACTACATAAAAAACAAAAACTAATTAATGCAATCAAATGAATTTTGATGCCCGGGACTTCTGCTTCGGGCTCTCTACATACACTTGATGCATTACTCGACTCTTCCTCCGCACAAAATGGACTGGTTACTCCAGTCAGAGGCACTATCACAGGAAAAGGCGAAAGAGATCTATGAAGCACGCAGAAAACGTAACAGTAAAACGCAACACTGACACTGCAAGTAAGACAAGAGAAACTATTTCAATGTGAATTTGTGATTGTTACAAGTGAAACAGCAAAACCAATAAATATTCTCTTCACTGCAGTTTATTTCTATGAGATCATTAGAGGTGTTAAACTTTAAACTTCATATGTTTAAACATTACAGGTTCCTGTACTGTAACGTAATAACTGTGCTTCATTTGGTGTTGTTACTAGGATGTGACTCAGCAGTTATATATACAGTACTGTGCTAAAGTTTTGAGGTACCCTTTATTTCTTTATATATTTGCTAAGAAAATGGGAAAACATGCAAACATAGAAACAATATATAAGGCAAAAACAGAGTTTCTATCCAGGTATGCTTTTACTATACTGGCAGTGTGTTTGTGATCATTGTCATTCTGAAAAACAAAGCTGTTGTCAATCAGTTATTTTCCAAATGGTTTTGGATGTTGGTTCAAACTCTGACGATATTATTCGTGTTAATAATTCCCTAAAACCACTCACAGAAAGCCAGCTCCAAACCACGACAGTGCCTCCATCATGCCTTGCAGATGAGTGTAGACACTCACTGTTCAGAGAGATACTGTACGTCTCTGATAGGTTAAAGAAATGCAAACAAATGGTGTGCTTTATGACAGGCTGCTAGTAACAAAATGCCTAAATATACAAAACTGGTTCCTCTCTTGAGTAAAGTGTCTTTTTTATGCTTCATAGATTCATATTTTAGTAGAAGGACTGTACTGAAAATGAGCGGGGGGGAAAAAACCAGCCAGTATATTAAAAAAACTTTTAAAGACCTTCAGAAAACTTGAAAAACTATTTCTTAAGGTAATGTTAAAAACTACAAGAAAGTCTGGTGACTTGGAAGAAAAATATCCAGAAACGTGGCTCAAGACTTTTGCACAGTTCTGTATAAAACCTATTCCTTCAACAGAGTATCTGTATAACACTTAGAGCTTACTTTGAATAAAATAATCAGTGAAAACATGGAGCTTAGAAACTCAGAACATAACCTGCTCCAGATCAGTTTGTGATGAGCAGAAGTTTCCATGGTGCTCTAGCCAGAGAAAGAGAGCCACTTCATTAATCTCACTTTTTTGCACAACCTTCAGGCCAAAAAATACAACTGAATGAGAGAGAATGCAACAGGAAAAGAAAAATGGACACATTCAGACATACAAATGTTTTCAGGTCAAAATGCAAATAGTTTGTGGCGCATTTTCAATTTCAGAACTGATGATGTTCGGTTGAAGCCTCATATTCAGAAATTTAGCATTTTTCAATGCAGGAGTGTGCTCATTCACAATCACTCACATTTATGGGGGATTATTATTTGATATACTGATCATGTTTTAAGATACTGCAAAAAGATTCTATGCAGATTCAATATTTAAAAATCCAATAACGATAGTATCGTTTTTATGCATTGGCTATTTATACACCGCCTTTGGATAAACCGCAAAGTATAGCACAACTGTTTTAAAATTACTTCAAACTTTGGTATTTCTGTGCAGCGCCTATTACTGGCTGATGAATACAGTGAAGATATTAAGCCAATAACAGTTTAAAGTGTACATTTATTGTGTATCTACTGAACTCACCGGCCACCAGGTCATGGTACGACCGGCCAAGAAATATCCCCCAACTGTCCCACGATTGGTCCGAAACATGGACTGGGACATGGAAAAGTGCGTAAACATCAAAGATGATCAGAATAATCAGGAATTCTCTAAGGCACACTTACCCAGACGCCAACACTTATCACCACAATGAAATATCCAACAATGATGGAGATGTCTGCTGGATTGCTGATGGTCACCTTGTCTGCCATTGCTCCACTTGTACCTAAAAACACTCTAAAACTTGACTTGATATGATTCCTTAGAGGAAACCTGCTTTGGGTTTACCTGCAACTTTTCTTCAAGTAAAGCTTTTTTTAAAATCTTGTTATCTACACAAAAAAAAAAAAAAAAAAAAATACACCTACATTTCTGCATCAACTTGACTACAAAGATGAGCAGCAGTTAGGCAGCAAAGTTGGGGCGACTGGTCTAAGTGAGAGCTCTGGTCACTTTTGACAATGGGCAGATTCAGCAGTTTATTTATTAGAGTAATTATTAACACTAAACCATGAAAAACATGCCTTGAGTTAAGTAGCTCCACTGGATTTAATTAATATTTTACATGCACAATTACCCACTTTATGCATGTCCTGCATCTTTTATTCCCACAACAACCCATAATGTTACCAGTAAAGATGGGTACTTTTCCTTATTTTGGTCAACGGTTCACTAAACAATGATAAAAATATGATTCTTGTAAATCATTGTGACCAAGTCAACATAAAAGGTTCTGGCATGTCAAAAAAGTCACAGTCACGAAACACAAAAGCAAAAAAGTCCTTTATTCATTTGATAGCACTGCTTCCATTGAAGCATCCATTTGCCTTCCAGTTCACAAATGTCATTAAGTAATACAAATTAGGGCAGCTTCTTTGAATGGGCGCACGGCATGTGAGCCCTGGATGTGTGCGAAAAGCTTGTGTAGAACACATTTACGCCTCAGCATAGAAAACATGCATGCGTACAGTCACTTTTCACATGTCACACAAGCTGTAAGCACACCGAGGGAGAGGAAATCAGTTCGTCTGACATTTCCGGGGTGACAGCTCAGAGCAAGTCAGGGGAAATAATTAACAGGCAGTGTAGTGTGGAGTTTTCTGGAAACACAAAACAAAGAAAGAAACCCTCACTGGTCAGACACACACTGGTATGAATTCTTCCATATCAAATGTCTAAAATGGCAAACCGTGAGCAGAGACCATTACTGTCTCATCATGAGAGACTCGCATTACCAGCTCATCCGTGAAACTTCAACACCAGGTTGGACTGACCTCACCTGAGGGAGAAGAGAAAGCTGCCAATCTACTGGCGGTCATATTTCAGCTAATGGCAGTGGCTCAGTGAAAGGCAGGAAGAAGCAAAAGTGAAACATCGGGTGCATAAGTTTTTGTGGAATGGCATTTTTTTGTAGTTTTGCTTCAGCACAGTACTAGAGTGGATTTTAAACCATCAACGTGATTAAAGTGCAGATTTCCAGCTACAACTCAAGGGGTTTAATAAAAGTATTGCATTAAATGTTTAGGAATTACAGCTGCTTTTATACGCAGTTCCCCATTTCCAGAGGCTCAAAAGTAACTGGACAACTGACTTAAAAAGCAGGGTTATGGCAGTTGATGTTGTTCCATGACTAATTAAAAAGGAAAAAAAAAGTTAGGAGTGAACAAATTCAACAATCTGAACCAGCAACACCAAAAGGCCTGAAAGAACCCAGAAGACAACTTAAGTTCATGTTGAATTATTTCCATGATTAAGCAAAACAATTTCACAACATCTAATCAAGTCAAGGGCACTCATGAGGAGTTTTTGTGTATGAAGAGACCTCTCCATGAATGGAAATACAGAAGGTTTTCAACAAGTTGTGAACCACTGGTTATGCTCAACAACTACAAAGTCAGACTGGACATCATCTAAAAGAGCCTGGTTAACCAGGATGAACTTCCAAGATTAACAGCTCACCACGTTATATGAAAAACATGGTGGAGGCAGCGTTATGGTATTGGCATGTATGGTTTGGCAGTGAAACTGGGCGACTCATCATTATAGCTCATGTGACTGCTAACAGAAGCAGCAGGATGACCTATGACGTGTATAGAGCTGTACTCTCTGCCCAGACAAATACAGAACTGATGGGACCGTGCAAACGGATAATGAGCCAAAGCAAACTGCAAAGGCAACTCAAGACATCCTAAAGGCAAAGAAATGGGATGTTCTTGAAAGGCAGAGCATCTCAAAGGAGGAAATACAGCATTGGTTCTCCATGAGTTCTAGACTTTAAGAAGTCATTGACTGCAAAGGATTTTATCCAAGTATTAAAAAAAACTATCATTACACTCAGACACAATATATACCTTGAATTAAAGCTGAAAGTCTGCACTTCAAGAGTGGTAAGTGGTGCAGTGATTAGCCTCACGGCAAAAAGGTCCTGGGTTCAAATCCAATCTGTGGCCTTTCTGTGTGTGCATGTTCTTCCAGTATCTGTGTGGGTTCCCTCCGGATACTCTGTCTTCCTCCCACAGTTCAAAGGTTAACTGGTGTCTTTTGTTTTTTTAAAATAGCCTGTAGATGTGAAAGGTTGTCTGTCTATGTGTCAGCCCTGCAATAGACTGAATTTGCATCCAGGGTGTACTGCACCTCTTCACCTATGACAGCTAGGATTGGCTCCAGCCCAACCGCAACCCTGAATTTGATAAGTGACAGAAAATGATCCACTGTGGTGTTGTACAAACTTATGGCAAAGCAGGTGGCAAATATATTAAAAATTTGTCATTTCCCAAAAACATATGGAATCCTCTGTACCAACAAACTACTTGGAATAATTCTTATCCAAACTGGACTGATTATCAGCAGTGAAGAGGAAAAGGGAATCCTGAAACTCAGCTCACGTCCATGTATTTAACAAATATAAAGCAAGAATAAATTAGAGTAAGCAAAGTATCATTTAGTACGCACTACATAAAATAAAGACCACAGTATTTAATGGGGATGCACAGCCTAGGAAGTCACTATGGCCACTAGAAATAACTTGCTGCCTGTGAAGCGAGCTGGGAAAATTGGAGAAATTCCACTTTTCCAACCTTGAAGGAGAAACTATTAGCGCAACATTTTCAACTGGAAGGATAAGAGGACAGTTTGACTTTGGATTCTGAAATTATTTATCAGTGGAAAGTGGAGAAAAGCGGATTTAGAATGAAACAAAACAAAACCTGACCGTGACCTAATCTCTGTGGCATCTGAATAATTATTAGTGCGTTTTAGAGTCACAGCAGATCATTTCTGAGCAGACCTACAGGACATCCAGGAAGTGCAGTCTCAACACAAATGTTTAGAAACAACAAAAGACTTAAAATACTTTTAAAAAATAAATAAATAAGGTGCAATGCTACTCAATGTGTGTTTAGATAGTCCATAACCTCCATGCCAAGTACATTCAAAGTCCTACGGCTGAAGCTTTACGTGTCTGCTGAATCAAGCAGAGACTGAACTGGCTTCAAGATGGAGGAAAGATATGTAACAGAGTCTAGACACAAGGATACTGAAGGTCAAATTCTAAGAGGGGTTTAGATATCACATTAACTACAAAGTTTCCTCCAGGACAGTTTCCCACTGACTGACTGATGTCCTTGTTCAGCTGATTAAAAGAACTCACTGAATGTGTTAATACAGTCTTTCATTTTTTCCGTTTCTCCCACTCGAGTGTTTTCTAACCAAAACACTTTTAAAGGGGACATATTGTTCTCTTCATTACTTTCTGGCATATATGTACTGGTTACAATGTGACCAGAACTTCACGTCTTGTTTTTGTTTTCCTATTCCTAATCTGGGCAGCCAGTCAGAAGAAAGCTGGCGTAAAGTGGGCGGAGCTAAAAGAGTCTAGGTTCATACAGGGAGTGACTTGAAGGGTTGCTCAAAGCTTAGTGTAAAGGATAACATTGGGGTTTCAGACGAATATAAAACTTTTTTTTTTTTTTTTAAACGTATTAGTCAGAATTACCAGGAAATTCACTTCTGTTAGGTAACACACTCTTTGTCTAGAATATTTATCCCAATCATGCTCACATGTGGAGGTTGTTAAGATAATACAGCAGGGCCACGATAGGGAATATGTAATAAATTAAAAACAATGAACTTAAATAGCCGTAAATGATTAGAATTAAGATATCTACAGTAAATAAGTTATCATATAATAAGTTATCAGAACTCATAAAAAAACAAGGTGAATTGGCCTTTCATTGCTGTAATGGCCTTGTTGACTAATATTGGCATCCCGGCAAGTGCCATGGCTTTCACAGATATCAGTGCCAAATGATTTATGTCAGATGAAAAAAGAAACATATCAGCTTGTTATTCAAAGTTTTATCAACCACAAATTTCCTGATATTGTTGATCTAAAAAATAAATAAATAAATAAAAAAAAAGGGGGGGGGGAGGGAGGGCTGGAGCCATTAGAAAAGCTGTTTAATGTAGTTTTGTAACCTGGGATCAAAATGAATCTGTGAAAACAACAAAAACCTTCATTTTGCATCTTAATTAGAAAAGTGTCAGACATGGCTGAGACAATGGCTGCTCTGAAATCCTCCACACACAATTTATTGAAATGACTCCCAGATGTGTGCGTGTCATCTTTGACATCAAACATTGTTTACCAGGTCCAGTCTGTTCTTCACTCTTGTTTCTCGCACCATCAAAAATCCTTTCAACTCACAGAAAACTTAGAAACTCATATCCATGCTCTTCTTACATTACATTACTTTCTGTATTCCTGTCTTCAGGAATGCAACACTACAAAGGCTATAGAAAGTCCATTATCTATTTTACAATCAATGATTTATGGGCTCATTTCTTCTCTTTCTTTCTTTCAACACCCATTATTTCTTGATTTTTTTCAAAGATGCTCTATAAATACAGTTATTCTAAAACTTTCTACAATACATTTCCCATCCAGTCAGGTTTTGTGTGCTGTAAATTGCAGTATCAAAGGGCTTTTGCAGGCTGAGATCAGGAGAGCAATAAAAAAGATTTAGGAAAATAAAGTGAACAGGAATGTGCCAGTATCCTTGTGTCTAAACTAGATGCGTCCAAAGAAAATCCACAAATTTAGAGTTATTACAACAGCAAAAAAAAGCTTAAAATAACATCACACTTCAATCAAGTGAAGGCCCTTTTCTGGGTTATAGAGGACAAACAGTGGATTCAGTTACATTCAGGTGCACGTTGCCTGACTTTTCCCCAGTTTCTGCCTCTACCTACTGCCTGTTTGACTACTGATGTATCTGTGACACTTTCAGATGATCCGGTCTATTCTAGGCCTGCTTGGTGGCTGAACTCAGATAGTATAAAATGCTATTTTCCACGTGACTTCATTTTAAAATTCAACATTTCAAGAAGCCATGGAGGAGCTGATTCTCCTTGGAGTAAATCTGTGTCTATGACCCTCACTTCAGTCTCGCTGCTTCCTGCTCAGCTAGTCAGAGGGCTTCTTGCAGTTTTCTTTGGCTAGTCTGAGTCTGGACAGGATGTGTTTTTTAGGGAATTTTAGAGTGGTGCACCCAAACTGGCTCACGCCTCCGGTATCTCCCGGAAGTTTTTCCCGTCTCTGAACCCAGCTGCGCCAGCCGGGTTTCCAACAGTACACGCTGTCGTAAAAGCGCGAGCCGTTTTCCCCTCCCAGCACATAAATCCGTCTTTTCCACCTGGCCACACCCCCTGCTGCAATCCGCCGAGGCAACCCCGGAAAAACGACGGGGCTTGGAGCTCGGTCACTTCCGCCACCCGCTCCCCCTCGCTGCTCTGCGCTGACCAGCACCCCTCCCCCAGTCACCTCCCTCTCCACCCCTGACCCTCTGCCTTCTCTGAAAAACAGCACACGGCCTGTAGCGTCCAAAGTCTCCAGGTTGGTGTAGTTACCATCCAGGAACTTGGTGGTATCCCTCATGTATCCCCCAATGGCGCACACTCCACCTCGCACTGCTACTCCTCCAGCGAGGCAGGTGGCACCTGAATCTAGTGCCACACGTGTCCAGCAGTCTGTCAGGGTGTGATAAATAAGCACGCCTGAGTGGACCACAGCTCGGTTCTGTTCAAGTGTGGTTCCACCCAGGAGGTAAAGTCTTCCACGTAGTGCTGCACAGGCAAAGGCGCGCAGGGGGAGCGGTAGCCGAGGCCCAGGACTCCACTGAAGTGTGGTCAGGTCCAGAGTCTCACTGGAGTCCAGGAGAGCTGAGCGGTTGCTGCCACCCAAAGCATAGAGTGACTCTCCACATCCAAGGAGGCCTAGCATGGCCCGGGGCTGGACCATCGAAGGCTGCTCTATCCAGCGGTCCAACACAGCATCGTATTCATGCACGGCTGCAGACACAGAGCCGGTCCGCAGGATCCCACCAGCTACAAAAAGCCTGTCGCCCACAGCTGTGCAGCCAGGACTGACAAGTGAGCCGAGTGGTGCTAGCTTCTCCCACTTCCCTGTCCGAGGATCAAAGCAGTCCACCGTGTAGTCTCTTGCAGCTAAATACTCATCTTCCCGAGGCGTCAGGTCCACACAGACAATCTTTTTCTCAAACATTCCCTCTCGTGGTCTGAGAGGCCCGCCGAGGCCTTCTCCTGCTGCTGCTGGCCCCAGTTCTTGGCTCAGTCTTCGGCTCTCTTCCTGGGACAACAGCCCGGGGCGCAGGTGGTGAAGCAGCGCCGGCATGTGAGCGTAGCGATCCAAAGGCTGGTGCTCTGCCCAGCGGCGTGCCGCATCATATACCTCCGCCTCCGAGTCCACGCCCAGACGGTCGGAGCTCAGAAGACTGCCTAAGGTGCCGTGGTCGAGCAGGAGGAAGTCTTTCTGGCGGGCCACCCGGGGAAAGTGCTGGGCTACCAGTCGCAGGGAGGCACGCAGCAGGAGCTGGTCATGGTGAGAGCGAGCCAGAGAGTACATCCCCAGGCAGTTGTCCACTGAGAGGTGCTCAAAAAGAAACCTGAAGCATTTAAAGTGAGAAAAAAAAAGCAGAAAAATGTCAAAGAAAAACAGAAGAAGAGAAAAAGGGAATGACACAAGATGATTTAATTGCCATCTTCATCTAGAAAACAGAATAGGTTTTATTTTAATTACAATCTAAAGTCAAAGTAAAAACGTAGCCACTTGAACTTTAACATCTAATTACTGAGGATATTAACTTTACCTGGAGCACAGGTCCTGGAGGGGCATGACCTGAAGGCGGTTGGCAGCCACAAACAGATCCTCAGCTGTATCCAGAGAGAGCCCAGCCTCCCCAGTGTACACAAACTGGATGATGGTTTCCATGACAGATGGCGTCACTTCCTCAAGCCGGATCTCTGTGAGGCGAGACTCCACCAGCGGGCTGGTGAACATGGCCCGAAAGTACGGACTCACGGCTGCTAAAAGGACTCTGATGGCAAAGAGAAGTCGAGGGAGAGTCAAAAGAAAAGAAGAAGCAGATGGGTGAGACATTAAAGTGAACCACAACAAAATGTAACAAATAAACAATTAAGAAAACTTCCTTCACTGTACAAATTTAGGTTTTATACAATGGATCCATAGATGCACACAAAAAATAAATAAATTCCTTAACAAAACTGAAACTTTCATGTTGCATAATTACAAGACAGTCTGTAATTTTATGTAATCTTATATTAGCACAAACAGTCATAGTGCCTATAGAAACATGTAGAAAAACAGAGACATACGTTTGAAATTACTCTTATTTTTTTTACGTTGCGATATCTCAGGGATTAAACTGTATTTACACTTCTGTCCACTGACTGAAAGGAGAGTTTCTGTTCCAGCCCACTCAAGCTTAAAGTCAGTTGTATGTGGCCCACGGTGTAAAATGAGTTTGACATCCCCGATCTAACAGGACAAATGCCTCCCAAAAGCATTACAGAGCTTTAAAAATTTCAGGCTTGAACTGTTTTCTTTCTTTTCATCACACACACTGGTGCTCTTATTCAGAATATAGCAAAGGATGACTCATCTGGTAAGTTCCTATACTCACTCCACTCCTAAACCTGTGCCTTTATAGTTTTTGTAACACTGAAGTTTCCATTGCACGTCTTTTAATGGCGAGTTTCTGCACTTCAACCCTACTGTAATAACTATTCTTCCAAGCAGACCATTTTCCCGAAGGACAAGCTGCCCTGTCTTCTCTTACATATCACTCTAAACCACGGGTATCAGTGCTAACAAATGCATGCAGTTGACTGACGGGAAATTTTCATGCAGAACTACACATTATAACATGTGGCTTTTTATCTTCTTCTGCCCTTGAGGCAATGGTGGTTGTGATAGCTTTGGAAAGCACAAAAACATTGGGAAATGACACTGCTGTGAATCACACTGGAGTTTCAAACATAATGCAGATGTGACTTTTGTCTCTTTTTCTAGTGTGCCAGATGAGCTGCCTTAGTAAAAGGCTCTTCTCAGCTCATCAGTAGATGAGCACCAATGCACACTCTTTCAAAGTCACTTGCATCATTATATAAAATCACAATAATCTAGACCTGCTCATAGCTCTCTTTTTCAGAGGCTGGTTCTCTTGCTATTCCACAGCAAATTAAGGCGATAAAAGAGCTGTAGCTGTTCACTTTAATACAAAGTTTCAAAGCTGTGTCAATCCAAATCAAGAAAGCTATCACGATGAGCACAGAGCTACACTCCCTTCTCAGATTCAGACAAATTCTGCAAGCATGAATGGACAAAGCTTCGAACTACAAATAGATAATGACCCAAAGCAAAAAGACAACCCAAGAGTTTCTTAAGGCAAGAAAAATGTGAGATTGTTCAATGTCCAAGTCAGTCACTTGATCCGAACTCAACAGAGCAGCTATTTAGTTACTAAATACAAAACTGAATGCAGAGAGACCCAAAAACAAACACCTCACTGGAGGAAACACAACATTTGGTGACATCCATGGATTCTAAATGTCAGGCATCTCATCTCAATTCCTCTGAACCTCTGAAAACTACTGAAAATTGTTATAAAATGGCAGAGAACAGGTCTCACCTTGTACTGCTCCTTAATTTTCCAACTAAAGCTAAATGTCTGCACTCCAAGTAAATTATTTACTGATGGTTTGATTTAAAATCCACTGTGGTGGCATACAGAGGTAAAATGACAAAAACTATAACACTGTCTAAAAACCTAAGGACCAGAGCGTATAAATAAAAGGGACATTTATTTGTCAGTGCTAGAAAATCAATTTTGCAGTCTTTCAGTGTTCAAAGCTCTTCAAGTCATGTTTTTGAGTTTACTAAAGAAAAAAAAAGGGAAAAAGGAATAGTCAAGTGGCTTTATTGTCATTTCAACCATGTGCAGTGGTACACTACACAGTGAAGACAACGTTCCTCTGATATTGCTCTCATAATTACATATTGATAGTGTGTAATTACTTCAAAAACTTAGAATTACTCCATTGTAAATACACAGGGGCAGGCACTGGTGGAAACCACCGTGTTGCATCATCACCTTGAATACAGTGGCCGAGATGCACATTGCTGTTCTACTGTTTTATGAATGAGCCCACACACTCAGTACGTCAAAGGTGGAGAAGAGAAGTCATGCTGTGGAGGCAAACTGTACTTCAGACTTAAGATATGAAGGATATTATATAGGTTTTATCATCTGAGATAGGGTCCTGTTCACCAAAGTCAGGGCTCCAACACAGGAAAACATGCATCAACATGCTTATTTATTCCCAATATTGTCAATAATTACTTATTGTCAGGGAATTAGACCCTTGCATCTCCATACCCTGTAACATATGGCAATCATACCTGTGACACATGAACTTCTTTCCTTCAACAAGGAGGGTAACATCACACAGCTGCTGAGCATCCAGGAGTTGCTTCAGTCCTGAAAGACAGAGAAGAAAGAGGTGGGAGGAATGAGAGAGTGGCAACAGAAGGTAAGATCAGCCCAATGTAGTGCAGGAATAGAGAAACCCCAGCCTTGTCATTTTCTAATGTCCCACCATGAGTTATGTAGTCCCCCAGCGGGGTGGTGCTGTCATCGGGGAAGTCCTCCTCCTCTGAGTCGCTGTCTGACAGAGGCTCCCCTCCGCCCCCGTCTCCGTCCTGCCACGGCTGGGGACGCCAGGTGACTGTGCCCCCCCGCACAGCATTCATCTGAAGGTGTGGACACAAGCAGAGAATTATACACATGCATTATGCATTTAACATCAGCAAACACAGAACAGGCTGATCTTTATGCATCCAAGGACCATCATTATACCCAGAGACTGTGGACACATGGCCCAGATAGCACCTACCTTCAAATCACTGGCAGAAAAAGGTATGCTTTCCTAGCCACACATTATGAGAGCATTGCAATACAGTGCAAGTGAAGAAACTCGTTGATTTTAATATCACATGTATGATACTTGCCATAAAAGATGGAGTTTTAAAAATTCCAAAGCACACTGCTCATAGAGGCTGTGATGGGGGATTTTTTTTTAGCTTTCATTTACCTTTGCTCTTCTTCTCGTTTCCACCGTGAAAGCTGGTTGGGTCTCACTTTCAGCAGGAACTGGTGAGGCAGTTTGGAGCAGACCGACTGTATCCAAGTACCTCGTTTATTGTCAAAAACTTGGAAGCATTTGGTTGTCTTGGTCCTCCGGACTCAGCTGAAACGCTTGTCCCGGCCTGCGGTGAAGAGGCGTCAGGCTACTACTCGCTGCTCGTCAGGCTACTCATCCAGCCCTGTGTACACCATCACCAACTGGAGGTACAAACTAGCTTAAAAAAAGAAAAAAAATCTCCTCCTGTGCAAACGCTTCTCGTCGTTACACACATCAGTCCACCATGGCAGTGTACACAGACGCTCAGCTCGGTGGTTAGCCGGTAAAGACTGCAGCTTTTAGGGCTCACGGAGCTGAAAATTGTGACTGAGTTCAGCTCCTGTCGGCCGCACTTGTCGTCTCTGAACCGGATTACCGCAACGGTAAACTTCCGTTCATCTGATTGGCTGACCTTTGCCCCGTGACGATTGTTTGGGGGGGATGAGCCGTTTCCTGTTACTGGATTTAAAAATAAATAAATCCTGCTCCTCCTCTGTGACAAAAGTTGCGTTAAATAACTACTTGTTTCTCTCTCTCTTCCAAATTTAATTGTTTACAAAAATTTATTTGGTTTCTAGCTGCGGTAACACTGGTTTCCGTATTCATGCTGCATTCATGGAAGATATGGACTTTTTAACAGCCAGAAATAGCGCTACCTAGTTAAACTGACACCTAAAAATATAAATTTATCATAAATCAAAAATAGTAATAATAATAACAATGAAAATAATAATGAAATACACAAACATTGCCTCAAATGTTCGGGACACATTGATAACCACGAGAAACTTCAGTTGAGCAAGAGCCTAAACAGAATACAGCGTTGATTGTTCCTATACCTCCGTGAACGCATCCTCAGCTACAGATACAAACATGGCGACCTGCATCGGCATGGTCGCTAAAGTTGGGGTTTTTGCAGCTGCTGTGCTAAAGCCGGTAGCCAGACAGTGTCCAGTGCATAGCGTAAATGTATTTGTCCCGCATCGCTTGTCGCATGGAGTCCGGAGTCGTTTGTACGAGCATGTCCGTGAAGGCTACAGTGACAAGCCTGAGCTGGACATGAGAGCTGTGTGTGAGGAGACTGACAAAGTCATAGCTAATGTAGAGAGCAGGAAAGGGGACCTGCGAGGGGACGATGTGAGGAAAATTGTAAGCGGTTTTAGTTACTAATTAAGTACTGTTTGTGGCATTAAAACACCATAATTTTATCTTATGTCACTATTTTCTAAAGTTTTTCTGGGTGTTATCGCTTCACTGAAAAATCAGTTTTTACAATAAGCCTCCACATGCATTTGCTTAAAATGTAACTGGGACATGATTCGCTCCAAACGTGTGATGCCACAAACTCCCACTGATACATAGATGTGTAAAGATTTCATACAAAATCTTTTATAACCCTGAGAATTAAAGCTGAAAGTCTGCACTTAAATTGCATCTTGATTCCCTGATTTGCAATCCACTGTGGTGGTGGTGTACAGAGGCAGAAAAAAAAACCCAGTCTTTTCCCCTAACATTATGGAGGGCACTGCAAATCTTGCCTGGATCTAAAAATTGACAAAAATGTCTAGTCATGCTGACTGACCTTAAAACTACTACTTACCATAATAAAAAGTGACGTCTTTGGTCTGAATACTTGTGACTGTAAGTAAGATATCCTACCATGAAATCATCTGGGAAACAAGAAACAAAGCAGTTGTTTAAAATTAGATCGACTGTGTTAAATTTGACTGATCGGTTCTCAGTGTTTTTACATATGTACACCTGCTTAATATCACTGCTGTCTAATGTGCTTGCTTTTGACTCGATCATCCTGATTGTCTACCTTTTAGGTGTGTGTGTGGCAGGAGCTCCAGGCAGTAAAGACAGAAATCTCTGAGCTGGAGGAAGAGAAGCGGCGCATCAGTGATATAGTCAGAGCACTAGTGGTGAGAAATAGTTATTACAGCTCTAAACATTATAACCAGAATGAACTTCAGTTTCTATCGAGGTTTGCGTCACCATTTACTCTGCTTTGAGGTTTTTTTGTTGTCAGAGAGTAGATTTCTGTGACCTAACTGATCTTTTCCTCACAGACAAAGGAGGACAAGAAAGCCCTCGCCAATGTAAGTTTCACTTCAGAACCTTGTCTCTTTTGTTACTGAGTCAGTTAACCTTCCTACTCCCCTGTGTTTTTGACCTATAATAAAGCTCATGTGTCCACTTCTGAGTCTTTGCTCTTTTCTATTCTTTAGCTTCCAGAGTACAACCAAGCTCTTCAGAAGGGCAGAGAGATCCGCAATAGACTCAATCATCTGTACCACAAAGAGACCGAGCTGGATGAGGAACACTATGGCCGAGCACTCAGGCTGCCCAACACTACACACCCGGATGTGGTCAGGATACACTATGCACACACTACTTTGTCCTGAGCTGCTTGGGAGAGATTTACTGTGAAGCTCAAGTCACTAAGCATAAGTTTCTCTTGCTCTTTCCAGCCAATAGGAGATGAGAACCAGGCGAGGGTGGTGGAGCTCGTGGGACAGAAACCAGGTGACTAATGAGATGAGAAGTGCAGATTTCTAAACTTTAAATTGATTACCTAATATTTTTTTAATGAATGCTGACACAAACGTTTGTGTGTGTTTCTGGTACAGAGTTTGACTTTAAGCCCAAAGGACATGCAGAGCTGGGGGAAGAGTTAGGACTCATCAGGCAGAGGTGAAGATGACTCTGGTTGTTGTTTACAGTCCTTCACTGTACTGTATGTTCACTATAACACTGTCTAATATACAGTACAAGCTACTTTAATTTAAATAAACTGCGCTATTCACATTTCCTCTGTCCACTGCTGCAGGCATCTAGCTCATGTCTCAGGCCACAGGTCCTACTATCTTCGAGGAGCCGGGGCCAGACTTCAAGCTGCACTCCAGAACTTTGCCCTTGACACGCTACAGCGACGGGTATGTGTGTTTGGTCATTTGATGTGATCCCCGGATAATTAATGTTAGTAGTGTGTATTATTATATCTATATATATATATAATATCTAGACATGCCAAACATGGATTCCTCCTTTGACTCCTACAGGGCTTCATTCCCATGGTTGTGCCTGATATGCTGAAGGGTGCAGTGTTTGTGAGTACCAAAGCTCAGGTTTCTAAAGTCACAATAAAATACTTTTGTCATACACTATACATAAAGGATGGCCTCATCCATCAAGACACTCACTATTCTGTGTAGTCTTGTCTTTCAGCCTCATTTTAAGGCTTTAATTTGAGTTTATTGTTTGCCAGATATAAGCACAGTTTAGGAGCTCAGTTTTGCTGCTGAGTAGGTGCTCACCTGTCACTCAAAGTGGCTATGCCCCCAACTTAAAGCCTTAATAAAATGAAAATGACTGAGTCAGATACATTCACATGGCTACCTTGTCATAACCTTTGTAATTAGCCATAGAGATGAAAACCATTTTTCAAAACCAGGCCATAAACATATTCATATCTGTAGCAAAGTTGAGCATTTTAACATGGGAGTCTTTGGGGATTGACTCACTTTTGGTGCTAGCACATCTGCATTAATCTCATTTTTCAGCTCATTTTTCAAACAATTTTAATTTAAATTATTCTAAATGAATTGTTTTGCAGTTATATATAAATTTTCATTGAAATAACTGGGCACAGCCACAGATAATCTCACTCTGCTCTCTGATTTGACCCACCTCCAGGAGGGTTGTGGGATGCAGCCCAATGCCCACAGCTCACAAGTCTACTCACTGGACCCTGCACGTTTCCCAGACCTCAACCTGGCTGGAACTGGAGAGGTTGGGGTGGCAGGTAAAGCTTCTTTGTCCATTTCCTCACAGTTTCAAATAACCAGTTGGTTGTGTATCAATACAGCAACAGTGTGTTGTATTGTTCAGTAAGCCTACAGCTATCGAGTGTAGTAACTGAGAGAAGTTTGCTTAGTCCCAACAGCAATCCTGCATTCGATCGATTGCTGAATTGAGATGTCGTGTGTCTTGCTGTCCATCAACTTATCAGTAGTCAGGTTTCAGTAAAGAAAAGCTCTCGTGGATCTCTGTACGTTTAGTTGCGTTTCTTTAATCTGGAGAGGGGTGGTAATGTGTAAACTGGATGCATCCATTTGTATCTCTTCCCTCAGGCTATTTCATGGATCATGCAGTGAACTGGAAGGACCTTCCTGTCAGGTGAGGTACACCCCACCTCTTACTTTGAGATATATGGAATAATTACACGTAATGCGATGCTGTCGTGTCTGTGTGCAGGACGGTGTGCAGCAGCACCTGCTACAGAGCGGAGACCGACACAGGCAGAGAGACATGGGGGCTCTACAGAGTTCATCATTTCAATAAGGTCAGAAGCCACACAGAAGTTTAATGTGTACATTTGCTGTACATGGACAAACCAATGATAATGTAAGTGGTTATTTGCTTGTGCGGCTGCTTGCTTCTATGTGCGTCTGTGCAGGTGGAGATGTTTGGAGTGACGGCAGATAAGACAGGAGAAGAAAGCTCGCAGCTGCTGCAGGAGTTTGTCAGTCTGCAAAAAGAGATGTTTTCTGCACTGGAACTGCACTACAGGTCAGCACACACACTGACACACACTCACACACACAGACGCACACCACACACCAGACACACACACACACACACACACACACTGCACTACATGTCAGCACACACACACACACACACACACACACAGTCTTACTGTCTCCTCAGCTGTGTCCTCAGCTCGGACAAAATGATAGTTTTGTACATTGTGGAAATATTCTGAAATGCAAAATGCCGAGGTTCCTCCCCGTTTTCTCTCAGAGAATGCTTGCACTGGTTGTAAGAAATAGTTTTGTGTAGTGAGGAAAGATGGAAAAGCTGAGCATAACAACAAAAGACCAAAGATATTAAGTGTAAAGGTATTTTTAGTGTTGATGTGTAAACACTGTTTTCTGTGTTTCTGTGGCTCTGTATACCCACTACAATGGTTGCTTTGTTCCACAACGTCATCTCACAGTCACTTGTATTTATATCCAACATTAAGACGCTGCAGTATTTTTGTGAACACTAGGTGTCGCCACTCAGACAATAATGCCACATAAGTGCTGATATAGGAGGAGAAGAACTCAAAACCAGAAGCCAACAATTTGTCCATTTTTGTTTTTTCCCACTACAAACTCAGGCTTTCTGTTCCAACGTCTGTATATCCGTGTGTCTCTGAGCTTCTGTACTGGTATATCATTAAAATGGCAGTATAGACTAACAAGATCCTATACTAGTCTCTTCAGCTCGGCTGCAGTGGCCATGGCACAGCTGGCTACGTTACAAAGATCAAGATCTGCATAACTGGCTGAAGCAAGACAGGATGTGATGTCAAATTCAGTGCGCAACACAATGAACATATTGGGGCCATAAAGGTTTTCTGGCCATTATTAGCATGGTAGTGTTTCGTTTTCTTGGCCAGGTGAGGTTTGCGCCCTTATTATTCCATTAGTTCACTGGAAATCTCAATATGAGGTCCAAAGAAATCGAGATTTTTCCATTGAAAGTGGAAAAGTCCATTAGGCTGTAAAACCAAAAGAAACCTATCAGATATAAGAAACTGGTACATCCTTTAAAAGAAGGATTGCACTGACCAGCTTTGCCAGAAATCATTTGAAAGAGCCTCAACAGTTCTGAAAAAAAAATCAGTGGACAAATGAAACCAAAATGGTGTTTAAGAAAAGTATGGAGGAGGAGAGAAATGGCTCATGATCAGAAGCATAACACATCATCTGTAAAACATGGTGGAGGTAATGTTGTGGAAAGGACATGTATGGCTAGAACCAGGTCACATGTGTTGGTGACTGGTGACATTATGACCTCGTCCCTCTTCTTCTCGGTAAAGCTTGGAATAATTTCAGTACTTCTGAAAAAAACAAAAGCAAAAAAACAAAACAAACCTTCAACTTCGACTGGAAAGTGACCCGATTAGGATTTGTCAGTCACATTTTTGGCCATTCAAATATGAACAGGTGAGCTGCGTTTCAACGGTACACATGTGTCTAAAAGGATAGAATGATGACTTTTTATATCCAAGGGGTCGAGTCTGGGAAGAAATGCTTCTAAATTGCCCATTGACAGGCTGACAATCCCATGTAGTCATAAAGCAGTGAGTTTGGTTGAACCCTGTTCTGTCTTGAATTTGAAGTGAAACAGAAAAAAAGTAGATTTAAAGCTCAAGTCACCCAATGTCTACAGAAAATGCAGCACTACTTTCACTTTACACATCCCTCACATGTTGAGATCTGACCCTTACCTGTGACTATTTTCTTCTTCAGAGTGCTAGACATGCCGACAGAGGAACTTGGCCCTCCGGCACACAGAAAGTATGACATTGAAGCCTGGATGCCTGGGAGAAACAGCTATGGAGAGGTCAGCCCTGTTATATAAATATTACCCATTTACCTACTTACTTCCAGTTACCTCATTTCTATTTCTAATCAAGAAGCTTTCAGTTTGTACAGTCAATAGCGACTCACACCACTCCTGCATGAATAAATTTACGGACTGGTTTTTATAATTGCTGCTCATTTTATATCCTCTGTATCTCAGGTTTCCAGTGCGTCCAACTGCACAGACTACCAGAGTAGACGCCTCAACATCCTGTATGAGAGAGAGGACGGCAGTCTGCAGTACGCCCACACAGTAAGACTGCAGATGATGCTGCACTGCTGTATATTGCTGCTGGTTAGATATACCACCTCCGTAATCTATGTTTTCTTCCTCATCCTAGGTGAACGCCACAGCGTGTGCAATCCCCCGAACAGTAATCGCCATCCTAGAGACTCACCAAACCAAAGTAAGACACCAGCAGCATTTTTTCCCCCCCACATTAGTTTTTTCCCCCACATTATTATGAAAGACAGTTCTGTAGTATATTCCCCTCATGTTTCTCATAATAAAACGTCAGCTCATCTACCTAACACAGTGTATAATGTGTAATATTTGTGGTGTTGTGACTGTTGTGATTCATGTTTCTCTAAATCACTTCTGTCAAACTCACATCCTAGCCTTCCAAACATTTTTTTCTGGGACTTTGCACATACACGTGAGGTTCTAAATAAATTTTACTCGACCTAGTTACAGCAGCTGTCTGCAGTAATGCGCCCCGTGCACACGCCACAGTGGAACAACAAAGGAAAGTTGAGGCTGCTGGGAGAGAGACAACTTCTTTACTGAGTGTAAAGAAAGCTGGTGACTCTATGCGCCACAAGACAGTTTGTGTTTGCAAAGAATAATTTGTTTTGTAATTCTGAATCAGCACACAGAGCCACAGAAGGGTTAGAAGTTGTAAAAGGCAAGTCTCACTGCAGCAGTGGAAACGGCAACCGAGTCAGGTTGAGGTTGAATGGTACAGGTGAACTTCAAGATCAAGGATCTTTAAATTTTTTCTAAAACCCACTGAGCTGTCACGTTCAGGCTCTATACCAGGGGTCTCAAACTAGCGGCCCACATCACCCCTACTTTATATTGACGTGAAGTTACTTTTTTGTTAGAGAGGATTTGTTTGTTGTTGAGTGCAATGCTACAATAAGTTCTTTAAAAAGGAAAAAATGACTTAATATGAAGGCAATATGAGCAGAGAGTACAAACGTGATGAGGGATTGGGTGTGTTAGTTCAGTGAGAGAGTTATTTGTAAAGAAAACAATTTTCACTCGTAGTCCAAAACGAATGTGTACACTTAGGTCTGCATTTTTATTTCGGTAAATGCAAACAAAATTATAGCAGAAGTGCTGGCACGTGTCTGGCCAGTTTGTTCATTTGGTAGTTCAGTGAAAGGCTTCAGTTAGTTAAGAGTGAGAACAATAATTGTGCTCACTTTAGCAGTTTTGTCTTGTTATACAAATTGTGAAATTACAAAAAACAAACAAAACACGACATTTTTGGAAATATTTGTGGGTGTTTTCGTGATTGTTTTTTTTTTGTACTACTTGAACACTAAAGTGTCCCTCACACGAGATGACAGAAGTGGCCCACAGATATTTTAAGTTTAAGACCACTGATCTAGACTGTAGTAAAAGATGGATACCTTGACATCGCATATACCTGAGCTAAACATTTTCGCCGTTGTAGCAGGTTGATTTTCTTTTTTCTTTTTTCGTTTTCAGCCGTTCTTTTGATTTGCTGCTGTGTTTGGATCGTTGTGTTGGTGCTGATAGGCTGTGCGTGGTTTTACGTTTTCACAGAGGACTTGTTCTTGAAATCTTGAAGCTTTTCAAACCTAACTCATGCTGCCATGCTCTGTTTCTACATCAGAGGCTTTCTCCTTTCAACACTTCCAAACAATCCGTACTTGTATAATTGTGCCATCATGAACTTTAACCATTAAACTTCTCGGAGCATTGCACAGCCAACATTTGAGGTAAATTTGCTGGGATGTCCACTCTTAGGAAGGTTGTAGCACGTGTTAACACACACCTGAATGCTCCAGACCAGCAAAGTCCCAAAGTTCTGCTTTTTGTAAAGGTACTCACACTCAATGATAATCAAATAATTAAGTGCATTTGAATAACACCAACTGGCTGTTAATTCTTATAGAAGTGGTGAGGGTGTATTTAGTTTTTCACAGGAATTGATAAAGTCTAGCTCTTTTTTCTCATATGTTTTCAAGAAGTTTTGAAACTAAGACTATACTTCCTTACGTTCTCTCACCAGGAGGGAACAATACGTGTTCCCCGAGCCCTGCAGCCTTACTTGAGTCTGGAAGTGATTGAGAAGCCAAAGTACACTCCACTGAAATACATCGGACCCAATCAGCGCTACCCACCACCAAGGCCGGCTCCTAAAATTAGATGACACTAACACAAGTTCAACACTCTAAACAGAAGCCATCGTCTACATAAATAAATAACTGTTTGTTTATTTAATGCAAGTGGATTGGTTGATTGACCGTGTCCCTCAAAAGACATAAAAAACGTTGAGAGTGAATTAAGTTTGTCAGTGTTTAAAAGAAGACCACTGTAAATAGATTCATTCCTTTTGTCTAATGTAATGAAACTGGTGTCTTTTGTCTGGATAATTAGAGGAACAATAAGAAAAAAGCAATAAAAAGTGTGTATATCTCCAATATCGTTACTTTGGGGTTTTTTTCAGGGGGCTGCATATATAGACCTTGTAGATGGATTAGCTCTACAACAAAAACACACTATGTGCCTTTGAAGGAGGGAGCTTGCAGTTGGATATTTAATAACTCCCAAAGGTGACATACAGACCTGTTAATGTGCCTTACATTACCAGCTGTTTCAAAGTGATCTGCAAAAATAATTGAGCAGCAGCTAGAGGAGGTGATGGAGCCTACAGGGAGCCTGCAATCAAAGTGTTATCCTAATAGTGTCATTGAAGAGCTTGTTGGCTGGGGTTTAAACAGAGCGCAGTTTAAGTTAATTTATTTTCACTTGACTCCAAGGAGAGCTGCATGCCCCTACTGTTATCAGAGTTGATGCGCAAATATTTTTGCTAAGTACAGGACGTCAACCTGATTCTCTGGCACCGGTCTGGGCTTTAATCGGTCACCTGACACCACACACACACAGAGGACTGTGCTCCGCGGCTCGGCTCCACCTCGCTCGGCGGGTGTGTGAAGAAGATCCAGCCCGTTATTTCAAGGTTATCTCCTGCAGGAGCCTCACTTCCCGGATCCTATGGGAATTCTGATAACCGCGGTGTTTCTCTGGGCTGCCGTCGGAGGTAAGCATTCATCACATCCATTAAACACACACACTGTGTGCATGCAGGGCGCTTTTAGTGTGAAGTGGCGGCAAAAAATTGGCAAGCTAAGCCGAAGACGACCCAGTTCTTTACACGCTACTACCTCAGCTACTCTTTTTACCGCCATGGAGCCGGCTTTGTGATAGAAACACACACAATAAACGCGTTTTAGCGCTACTTTGTGGCGCAGACTGGCGCTTTATGCTAACCTAATGGCGGAATCCGCAGGGGTTTAAGACTAATAGGCTAAACAGGAGCGTTGTTACATAATTTGTTGTGCGCCCACCTTTGTGTTTGTGTGCCTGTGGGGCGATGCTGCTTCTGCCCGTAGACACATTTCATACACAGAGGAGTATTTCAGTGTTTAGGGACTCCCGGCTTTGTCCGCTACTAATCCAAATGGAAAAAGCTCCGCGCGCAGGTGAGCGGAACAGCGCACACGTGCGCGTGATGCTCAGCTGCACGCGCCAACCGCTGCGAGAGCCAGCGTAATCAATTATAACCTGGGGGGAGTGTGCTTCACACACACACGCGCGTGTCTGCAGGGGCGCACAGCTCTGTCAGTAACCTATAGAGGATACTACAAGCTGTGGGTTAGAGTTGTGTCGCAGTGTGTGAGGGCAATAACCCCACCCTAACACTATACAACCAAATCTATTATTACATTAAAATGGATATAAAATACTGCAT